AAAAAAATTGAGGCCTCTTCTTGGATACACTCAGCTGAGCAGTGCAGAGACCCACTTTTGGTCCTTTCTTCTTCCTGTGAAAAACTGAGGACCTAAAGCCAACCTGCTTCCTGGATAGATGGAGAAGTCAGCTGGTTGGTTAATCAGTATCCATGTGCCACTTAATCTTTCATATAGTGAGATAAGCTGCAGAATTTGGGGGAAACATGAAAATCCATCTTGTAACTAAGTTTGTGCTGTACAGATCTGGTTGTTGGTGGTGTTTTTGTGTGTTACTTAATCACATTCAGATCTGTGGTCTGGAAAGAGGCTGTAGCCAAGCTGAAATGGTGGAAAGCTTAGAGCTCCAGGGAGTATTCTGGGAACTCATGATTCAGTGATCACATTTTTTGTTTGAGTTGTGCTATTGTGTGAATGTGCAAATTTACATTAAATATTCTTTAAAGAAAAACAGTTCAACAGATACCTTAGAACAGGAGACCAAAGTTGGTTAGTATGATCAGCTTCAAAACCAGTTTGTATTGCTTTTTATTGCATTTCTGGACAGATTTAAAAAATATTTATCACAGTTCTCCTTGTATGCCATTGTGGTTTCCACGTTGAATACAGCGCATTCCTCTGCCTAACTATGGCTGAGATGAAACTATATTGTGGGAGGAGAAGGTTGAGCCCAGCCCCCAAAAGAAAGAGGGTTCAACAACTGATGGGGTAGATTCTGCAGCACTCTTTGGGCCAGCACAGACCAATCTCAGGGGCATTTTGGGAGACATTTGTACTCTTCATAACTTTTTGAGTCTCTAAGTGTTTTTTAGAAACTAAGAAATACCACAGCATTCCTTCACTGTCTCTCCATTTAAAATTCGTTTTTGAACCAAGGAACTCCCAGCGGTAACCTGCCATTCTATGGTATGTATATTTTAATTTAAAATGAATTGTTCAGACTACAGTCCTTTGCCAAGTAAAATCATCAAATTTATAAAATTGAGTGGTTCTTAACAAGCTTAGAAACGTACACAACAGTCTTCATATGAATCCAGCTGTTCCAGTTTAGAGAATGAAAACGATCCAAAGCTGTGCTTCAAATTGGTTGGCTTTCCAAAGCTGGCCAATATAAAGGCTGTGGTGTTTCTCAGGCTTACCTAACTCACACTTATCTGAGTGTTGGAAAAATCTTCTCTTTTTATTCATATGTTGAATAGTTATATGATCCTAGGCTTAGCACTTGGCACATACATAAAAATGCATGAATAAATGTTGGATTTCCATTGCCACAATCTGTCTTTCTTTCTTTCTTTTTTTCTTTCTTTCTTTCTTCTTTTTTTAATCTTTTTGAGACAGGGTCTCACTATGCAGTTCAGACTGGCCTTGAGCTCACTTTGTAGCCCAGACCGGTCTCAAATTCACAAGGATCCTCCTGGCTCTGCCTCCCGAGTGCTGGGATTACAGGCATGCTTCTCCACACCCGGCTAGTCTATCTTCTCTTTTCTGTTCGGGCTTTCCATGAACTGCTCATTTCCAACTGCTAACTCAGGTTTCTCTGCTTGCACTGCATCTCATGAATGGTGCTCTCTGTTTCCATCTGAGAAATGGGGAAAATAAGAATAACTCTAGCTTCTTAGGGGGCCTTTCAGGATTAGTTATGGTAATGCATGTGAAACCCCAGCAGAATGATGGTGACAAATGCTCATTGCTTATATGATCAGTTCTGCCACCTCTCATGTTGTTGAGCTTAGGGACAAGATGGAGGACAGTAGCTGCCAATGTTAAGAGCCTACTGCTGGAGAGAGAGAGCTCAGTGGCCTAAGCACTTTCCTGGCAAGCACAAGGTCCTGAGTTTGATCCCTAGTACAAAAACAAGCAAAATAAAAAGAGCCTGCTAAAAGAGCAGGCTTGGAATTTTAGTCTCATGCTTGTCCTCTAGCAGGCAGAGTATTTGTAATTTCTATGGGTGAGGAGCTGGTTTTGGTTTTTTGATGATGGGTTAAAATGATCTCCATTCCAATCTGCAATCTCCAATCCTAGTTCTCTGTTGGGATTAAAACAGGTTTTTGTTTTTTTAATGAAATACTTAAGGTTGTCAGTTCAAAGCACCTCTTACTTTTTGACACCTCCCCCCTTGTCTAGAAAGACAGTCATCCTCCTCCTGGCACCCTGCCAGGCCATCCTGCAGGAGTCCATCATTTTACATTGCAGTCCAAATCTGATACTATTGCTGTCTGTAGTGGCTGTACTTATCTCTGTAGTCTCAGCTCAGGGGACCCCACGGTTTCCTTCTGCTTTCAGTCTACCTGAAAACAAAATCAAGCCCACCAAATCAAAGATGTGACCTTTGTTTTTGGTCCCATTGCCTTCTCAATCCTTTTTATAGAGTTCCCAATGGGATGACATCCCACATGCTCTATCTGTGAGATGTCATCATCTCACATCATCAACCAACATTACTGCCTGTTTTATTTGAGTTCATATGTGTTGAGGTGTAGGGATCCATTGGTCTCACTGTGAATGGTTCTACTCAGGGAGAAACAGTGGCAGGAATGAGAAAGACAAAAAGACAAAAGCTGGGCTAGGTGGTCGCTAGTCTGCCTGTTGGGCAAGACTAACTCAACTGCACAACAAAGACGATCCTTTATTTATACTTTTGCAAAGTTTGTAACACATGACACAAGGTTGCCTAGTGATAGCTGACCTGAATGATAGGATGTTTTTCTCAGGACTGAGGTAGCTTGTTTGCTTTAGGCACTGAGAGCCAGTCTCACCTACACAGCTACACACATGTAATCAATTTTCTACCTTCCTGGGACTCCCAACACTGAGGCCTGAGATTTAGCGGACACTTACTCTTGTTGACAATGGTACCTACTAATGAGAATGCATTGAAACCTAGCCATGTAAATATATGTTGCTCCTCCAAAGAGTGTTTTAAAAATGCTATAGCAGAATCATGGTAAGCAAGATCTTGATGCGACTTCAGGCAGAACAAACAGCATCTTTATTCATAGTGCTTTCACCAGGAGACACTGGAATCACAGTGGATCATTTCAAACCTGAGTGACAATCATCAGGCTTCTTTCTGGGACTTGTTTTGTCCCCTGAGGTCTCAGGCTCCCCATTCCATAGGCTGGACCTCAAGAGCACTTAGTAGTAAGGTGCTAGAGTAGGGGAATACTTGGTCAAGGCCTTCCCTGGAGCCAGGTGGGGCACAGCTGCCTGGAAGGAGAAAGCCTGGGTTTACTCTCTGTTGAGATCCTGGGGCGCAGACAGCAGAGAGTCGGTGTGACATACACAGCTGGACTACCCATTGGTTCTTGTTTTGGCAGTATTTGCCATTTTAGCTAGAGTTAAGGACCAGGCGTGATGAAAGAAAAGCAGCTGGCGATGGGAGCCTGACAACTCTGGGTGGTGTCTCAAGACAGGTGGCCTCTCACCTCCCTCAGGACTTCCTGGAACTGAGGACAGGAAACAACAGGGCCTTTGGTAGAAAGATGGGACAGGAGAGGGACTGCACTGCAGGTGAAGGGCTGCTGTTGGCCTTTCCCCTGGGGGTTCATGAGCTGAGAGCTACTCCTGCTATCGCACACAACCAGTCATACTCATGAAGATATGCAAGCTGAGGGTCAGAGAGTTTCAGCATCTTACCCAACGTCACACAGCAGCTGGGTAGATATATCCGGACCAAAGTCTCTTCCCTCTACAAAGAAGGCCTATTCTTTTTTTAAAAAGACATATCTTTGTCTCTTCCTTACCCCCCCCCCCAGTTTTAGACAGAGACTATCACCTAGATTGAGAAATATTTGGGTGTTGATCTACTGAGACACACAGTGCTTGGAGTTACAAAGGAAGCAGCTGACTCCCACCCCTCACCCCCAAGGAGCTGGCTCAGAGTTCACCTTCAGTAATGGAAACTGCCTTCCCCAGATAGACTCTGGTTTTCCACTGGCTTCTCCGGCTGCTAAAATAAAACTACACTAATCCCTCAACCATCCCCCATAAACAGGTGGGGCTGCCGCTCAGCTCCATTTGCCAGAGGTGCAGAGAGGTCATTTTTCATGTGCGTCTGTGCCTCTGCAGCAATGTCTCTGGCCTGCTCCAGCTGAGCTGCTCCTGTTACTCGGGCTCACTCTGTCAAGGGGGCCTCTCCACAGTCCGGGCTTTGCTCTGTTACCCTCTCATTGAATTTGGCCTTCAGAGTAGGCCTTGCTTTTCCTTTTAAACATTGAAGTGCATGGGCACAGGCGAAAGTTAGCAAAAGCGTTGTCCACACATGCAGGATCATCTACTAAATACTCTGGTTGCTCCCCTCTATGCTGGCACCCCCATCAACCCCACAGATATAGCTCTGTGACTTTCTTATATCTTCCAACCATAAAATCCCATTCACGTTGATGATATTTCCAAATAAGATTTGGAACCAGTAAGGTATCTTTAAAAGTAGTCAGTTCAGGCCACAAGGATATTGGAATGGACTTTGACTTTGTTGTTCACATTTTCTTAGTGGATCCTTTTTTTTGAGATAGGTTCATCCTCTGTTATTCAAGCTGGCCTTGAACTCACTATGTAACCCAGGCAATCCTCGTGCCTCAGCCTCCCAAGTGCTGGGATTATAGCCATGCCCTACTATGCCTGGTTAGTGGGTCCTTTTAGATTAGAAATCATGAGTGCTGTAAAAGAATTAGGTCATAGCTGGGTGTAGTGGTGCACTTCTATAATCCCAGCACTTGGGAGGCTGAGGCAGGAGGATCATTGTGAGTTTGAGACCAGTTTGGGCAACAAAGTGAGTTTAGGGCCAGCCTGAACTGCATAGTGAGATCTTGTCTCACAAAAGATTAAAAAAAGAAGAAGAAGAATTAGGTCAAATAAGTGACAGTTTTGAAAGTGCCTTTAGGTGTTAAATTAACACAACCACTTGATTGGTGGCCTTCATATGGCCTATGGAAGCCAACAATTTTTATTTTATATTTCTTTATTTTGGTTTTGTCATATAGTCCAGATTGGCCTTGAACTCACTGTGTAGCCCAGGCTGACACTGAACTCAAAGAAATCCTCCTGCATTAGGAGGAGTTGAAGACTGGGATTACAGTTGTATACCACCATGCCCAGCAAGGAAGCAAAAGGTTTTTCAGGGATGAAGAATAACAGAAGACTCATTTATATACTTGCAGGCATTTTAGAAAAGCACACAAAAATTTTCATACTTAGCATCTTTATGTTTTTAAAATCAGGAAAAGCTTACCAAACAGTTTAGACAGATTTCCAAAGTAGGCTTTTGAACATGATGCAAATATTTGAGAGAAAAACTAATTTTTAAAGGAAGAATGCTGGATTCACTTCTCTGATGAGTGATCCAGGAAGCAGAGGCGAGAAATAACTTCAGTCTCACAGGGGAGCCTGTGCGTGTGCTAAGGTTTGGACATCTGTTTGCTGCTGATGTCACCCTCCAGGCAGTGAGGGAGCTTGGTCACATGGGACTCCAGGGAGACAGAGTTGCCAGACAATGTAAGACTGCAAATGGGGCACTTCCACTTCCAGCGTTAGAAGGACATACAAGTGCAAGTAGACACACCACATTACCTGTGCTCTTTGCAGTCAGAGAGGAAAAATGTGCTTGTCCTCATGTACTTCTAAGAACTTCAGGGAGAAAATCTGGTACCCTGATCTATATAAGTAACAGTAAAGGGAAAGGACCCCAAAGTAGCCCCCTGGTTAGAGCTCAGATTTCTCTGCCAAAGGTGATGTGGGCACACAGAATTGAGCTGTGAGAATGGGAGGCCAAGAAAGTGCTGGTCCTTGACTGCATTTGCTGCAGGAACCCCAGTTCTGACAATGAGGCCTGTCTGCTGGACGCTGGTGTTTCTAGTCTTGAGCTGTCATTTCTTTTGTATCTCTTGCTGCCTGAGGAATTTTCCCCATTTCCTCTTCCATTGTGGAGCTCAGCAGATTTATGGAATAATAGGGCTTTTCCAGAAAGGCAGAGGCTGAGAGGCAGGGTTAATACACAGTGGTGAAATGAAGACACCAAGAAAAAGGCAAATAGCCAGGCCTTGGTCCCAGTGCTGGTTACCTGTTCAGAGGATCGTGGGACAACACCTGGTCCTCAGCCCTTCTAATGGTACCTGGGACCTGTGGAATATACAGCATTCCTTCTGAGAAGGCTGCAGGCTGGGACTGCTGTGATGTTTATCCCTGTTGGGTGGTGCCTTGGATCCACCTTGCACCATACTGTGAAGAATCATGTCCTTCCAGGGCCCTGAAGAAACGCGATGGCCTTTGAACACCTAGAGCAGAGGCTGGAGCAGAGGTGCAAAGATGACCATGCTGAAGTTTCTGGGTGGCAAGTGCACGTGGCTGCCCTTTCTGGGCATGGTGGCTGGAGGGAAGAGGGGCCACATGCTGACCAGTGTCAGGTGAGGGTGGGAGAAATTTCCTGTGTTGCATCTTTGTTTATTTCTAACTTTCAGAGTTGCAAGCAGCTTGGCTGTTCTTGGCCCCTCAGGCTGCCTCCGTCCACAGCCTGGGCCGCCCTCTGCTGCCTTTTTTGCAGGTTTAGCTATCCCCATCTCCTCTTCTTCCTATGAAAGCAGAGTTGATACCATAAGGATGAGTGGAGTGTGAGACTGTGGGGACATCACTGCAGTCACTGTATTTGTCACCAAACAGCACCAGGATGGATTGCTCTCCTTTTAATACCAGAAGCTCAGAAGACAGGGATCTGGTCTCTCCGAACTACATCAAGGTCATCATCCAAAGTCAACAAAACCTGAAGTGAGAGGTGCAGAAACATAAAAGGAATGTACAGTTGCAGCCACATGAACCCCCCACCACTTTCTGACTCCCCCAGACGGAACACTACCTACTCCCTTACTTGTTTCCATGTATCCTGCAGCCTTTTGCAATGCTTTGCCATTAACAAGCAACTCTAATGAGATAGTTCATTTATCAGCTAATGTAAGTGTTTGTGAGAGTTCACATGTGCTGTCCTGGACGCTGGAGCTGTGGCTGGGGTGAGTGAGAAGTAGCTCTCCCTCCTGAAGTACACATTCAGTGAAAGTTCGGACATACAGCACACAAACAAGTAAAATGTGGAATATCAGGCTGTAATATGTCTAGGAATAAAAACTAAACTCAGGAGATAATATAGGAAAGATGGTTAAAAAAAAAAGTTTGATAGAATGGACCAAGAAGTCATTGCTTAAAAGGTCAAGTGTTAAAGGAAATGAAGTCTTATGACTATTTCTTTTGTCTTTTTGAGTCAAGGTCTCGCTATGCAGTCCAGGCTGGGCTTGAGCTCACTTTGTAGCCCAGGCTGGTCTTGAACTCATTCCCAAGTGCTCGGATTACAGGCATGTGCCACCACGTCCAGCTTGCACTGACTATTTCTATAAGAGAAATGGACCCTTAGGCCTTCATTTCTAGTTCTTCGGGCCACTAGTTTCCCCACGTGCACCCCTGAGCGCCACTTCTACTATCTCTGTCTCTCAGGAAGGCACCTAGCCAAAAGAGAAGTTCTAAGACGCTGACACAGTCCTAAGAACCTTCCAAACTGGCCGCTAGGGGGCAGACCCTCCCCACGTTGAGGTGGTATGGCCCGCGCTCCAGAGGACAGCGCTGTGAGCCCAGGAGTCTGCAGTGAGCGGGAGCCACGACTTTTAGTTTAGAAATGTTAAAAGTATGATTTAAGGATGCTGGGAACCATCGTCCTAGGGAGACTCGAATAAACATAGCTTCTGGGAAAGGGTTTGGGCGAAACATGGAGGAACTACAGGGGAAAACTGAACATGAGGTACTTGTTAGAAGGCAAGGAGGCCAGGAGGCCGGGAGGCTGCCTCCGGGAGTCATAAAATGCTCAGGACACTTGCAGTGAGACTGCAGGAGGGGGAGGAAGGGCACAGCCCGACGTTAGAGGAAGGTGAACACCAGCCTTGGTTCTGGGGAAATTCTGCGTGTCTGAGCCTAACAACTAGGCTGTGCAATTTGGGAAAATAGCTTTGTCGCTGTGTGTTTAAAAATATTAAAAAATAAAAGGGAAGTAAAAATAAAGATCTCATCAAATGATACAATATAACAAAGAAATAAATTGATAGGTACATCGAATTACCATGAAGAACTGGAGTGGGAAAATAGGAATATAAACAGGATTCGGGGCCAGGGATAAGTGGCACAAGCACCTGTATACTGAGGAACAAGCACAAGGTCCTGAATGTGATCCCCAGTACCAAAAATAAAAAAGCAAACAAAGAAGGTACAAAGACAAGGGGAAAAGCAAAGACGAGAATGTAAAGTCAGGCGTAAGATGAAAGCAATGAAAAGATGCAGTTAACTCACCAAGAATGAGAAAAACAGGGCAGTAGCAGACAGGAAGTGCCAGATATCATGGTCGTCAAAGAAATCCAGCAGGATGCACTCCCGGTTCTTCTCCCTGGATTCAGCGGGGGTTCCCTGGAGGAAGGTAAGACAGGACGGAGGCAAGATTCCCTCACCTACTGTTTTAGTGTTTCACACACAGGAAGCTATAAAAGTTCTCTTCGGTGGCTCTGAGGGTCAGCTTCCACCCAAAAGCTCGAACACAGTTGTCCACAGCAGAGTCACTCATAATGATAAAAATTAAAAACAGCCCAGTGTTCATCCACATATGAATGGGCAAGTAAAATACACACTTCCCCACACCCTGCCATAGTTTTTAGCAGGAAGACCTGGAGTGTTTCCATGCGTGGCAGCAGAGATGGACCCAAGGAACATTTTGCTAAATCAAGTGGATGCAAAGGTCACATATTGTGTGATCCTGTTTATTTAAAAGGCCTGAATATACAAACCTAGAGGGACAACAGCAAGCTGAGGCGGCACATGACTATAATCCTCACACTTAGGTAGCTGAGGCAGGAGGATTACAAATTTCAGTCCTGCTTGGGCTATTTAGCAACTTAGTGAGATCCTGTCTCAAAAGGAGGGGAAAAAAGATGGGAGTGTAGGTCAGATCAAATGCAGGGTTCAGTCCCCAGGATGGGGAAAAAATTGTGTTAGAAAGATGGAGAAGATCCATTCATCAAGGTTTCTGCACGTTATGCAGCTACTTGGAACAGAATCATAATGCAATGAATACTGAGGATCAAATTTGCAATGTCTGTAGCACTTACAAATTTATGAAGTGCTGACCACAAGCCAATTTTAGGCATTCATGTCTTTTATTCTAATTCATTTTATTTTTAATGTATTTGGTACAGGATCTCACTACACAGCTCAGACTCAGTGATCCTCCTGTTTTCAGCCTCCTCAGTGCTGGGATTACAGGTGTGGACCACCACGCCCAGTCTTGGTGGCTTAGTGCACCCGGGGGCAGGGCTAGTATGGCATGTGGTGCCAGAGATTGAACCCTGGTCCCTGCGCTTGCCTAACCAGACATTCAGTCTGCTGAACTATCTCACTGGCCTGGCATTCATGTTTGGATCCTAAAATCAGTCCTTTTTGGCAAAACCTTTCCATTGAAAAACTGAAAATAAAAAAAGATAAAAAGCAACATGTACAGTAGGAGAGGGAGGTAGAAAGATTAGAAAGACAAAACAGAGAGAAGAAAATAGAAAAAAAGAATGGGTCCTTACCTCCCAGCTGCTGAGATTCTGGAAGAAGAAATACAGGGCGGCAGCCCACACCACTGCAGTGGCCACGATGCAGAAGATGGGTACTGGGAGGACCCTCTCAGAGCTACGAAGCTGCAAGGAGACATGGGGGGGGGGAGTGGGCATCATCCCATTGCCAGCTTGGCACCAGGACAATGTGGCTACTCTCTGCTTACCTTCATGATGATGTAGAAGGCCAGGTACAGCAGCAGGTTGCAGATGAAGATGCCCAGCATGTAAGATGCGAAGTCCCTGGGCCGGTAGATCAACCCAAAGAGGGCACTAAGGACACAGGGAGAGATACCAGCTGCAGAGAAGATGGAGTCACAATGTTGTCTGCTTTTTTTTTTTTTCCTATCAGGAGTTGAAGTCAGGACCTCATACTTGCCGGATGGGTGCTGTGTCAACTGATGTTTTTTACTACTTCACCTTTATTTTTTTAGGAAGCAGGGTTTACTTGAAAACTACTTTAACATACATTCATGTATTACTTAAGGATGGGTTATGCTCTAAAAATGTGCCATTAGAAAACTGCATGTGATTGTGCGATATCCTATCCTCAAACTGTTAGAAGTGCTGGTCATTTACTTGCTATTCCAGTATTTAATAATGTTTTACTCTTAGTACATCTTTGCTATCATGAAAACTTTTTCTTAGTTCAATTGTTTTGAAACATTTAATTTTCTGAATATTGCTTAATCTTAATTTTTGTTCTAAGATTTATACTGTATCTTTGACTTACAATTTATTTAAAAGACATTGTATA